GGCCAGATGTGGAGAATAACATCTACCCACCAAATTAGAAGAGAGGCGGACGAGCAGCGCGATTAGCCTGGCTAGGCAAATGTAGTTGGTGCAGCATGTCACATGCTGCGTACTATGGCTGCGAGTGAAGCCCCATGTAGCCCTTGGCACGCGTATTCGATCTATGAAGGATGCAAAATTGAAGTCTCTGAAATGAATCTGGTGTTTTTACCCTTCCATACGGTACCTATATAATTCGTTCTCTATGCAGCACTGAAATGTTTTAATAGCTAAGGCAGAACCTGCAGACTCTGGATGTCGCCCTGCTACCTACCTTTATGCCTCCTTAAGTTGCTGTCATAAAACGGTTCTATTTATAGACCTATATTGGCACGGATTGCGATATGTGGACATTTGGTGTGGTAATGTGCGCCCAACTTCTTTTCGTAAATACCTTCCATCTGTGCCTTCTTCTTCAGTACTGGGTGAGCACACATTTTCCACATAGTCCCACAAAAATTGATTTTCTGTATGGTTCCAGACGTGGCCGATGCTATGTTCAATGGTTCTGTCTGTTATGTCGTTTTTCATCTGCGCTCTGCTCTATAATGGTTTTGTAACTGCCGACTGGACGTGGACAAGTGTCAAAGACACTCCGGTGCACATTGCCCAACACGCAATGATTGATCCTCTATTCTGGCTGGTAGGTGCAAATTCAGGTGCTCTTCAGTCCTGAGAACTAGTTTGTCGAATTCCAGGTGGTTCTACTGTCTATTGTCTTGTGCCTGGTACCACGCTTTACACTGATTGCCATCACGAATACGTTACGACCATCTCGTGTATTGAAACGACGACAACTGGCTAATGCTGTTGACAATAAACCACGCCCATTCACTGCCTTTTCCTGCTGCATACGGGTACTATGCAACGATGAGATACGTGTAAATGTGAGTACACCTGCCACTTTCTCTTAATTTGAATCTGTTCCCTCTCTCTCTTTGTTAAGGAAACAAAGCTCATCGTATACCTAGAAAGCATATTCCACACTGGCTGTATGGGCGGAGTCGGAGTGTCATAGTGCCTCCCTGACTGGCGTTCCACCACTTGTATTTGGAAATGGTTTTCACGCGAATAAGGAAGGCACTGTGGTAGATATAACTCCGCCCATACAACCAGCATGAAATGACTCCCTTGACTCTCAGTACTCTATCAGCGTCTCGAGGGCTGAAGAAGCATAGGCATTGATCTAGCGTCTGCCAGTGTCTACCAGCGTCCACCGCGTTCACTAGCGACCGGGAGTAGAGAGTATGGGGAAGTAGGAGAGCAGCAAACAGCTGCAATAGGCGTCGTGAGATCGTGGAGTGTGCGATCGTACCGCACAATTGCTAAAGCATAGAATTAAGAAGTTCAGTGTACGGTGTAGTGTAGTTGTACGGTGCGGTTACAACTCCGCAATTTCACGTCGCCTAATCCAGCTGTTTGCTACCCTCCTTACTTCCCCACATTCTCTATCTCTGGTCGCTAGTTAATGTTGGTGGGTGCTAGTAGACGCTGGTGAACGCTGCCACAAGGTATTAATGAACAGGGTACAGCATCGTTGTGTGAAGCGCATAGAGGGGTCGTAC